GTATCTAGTCGAAGACATTACCCTTCAAAATTGAAAAAATTTCCCTCGTTCCCCGTAAATGGGGGAAACCTCCAAAAAAATTACAAATTTAAAAATCGCTAATTTTCGAAATTTTTTCAATTTTTTTTACTAAAAACTGCCGTAACTTTTTCAAAAATGAATAAATCAATATAATTTTTTTTTATATAGATGCTTGATGTCTTTACCTATCATTTGGTATACTTTTTTTGTAAATTCAATCTTTTTTCTACCCACAGGGGGGAATTTAAAATGACAACTTTTTCACAAAAAATTAACTTTTTCAACTTAACTTTTGAAAATGTTCCGGAAGGTCTGACACTTTTATATATATCTTAAATTAAAGCTAATGTAATATACTTTAATTTGAAAAAAAAAAATTTGACCTCTGGACTTGTCTTCATGGTGAAAACGGCTACCGAATGCTATTTTTGTGTGAAAATTTTCGATTTTATAATTTACATTTTTTACTTTAAAGTGCTATAACTTTTTAAAAAATGTATGGATCAATACAATTTTTTCATGAGAAGTAGTATTTATATACATCTTTCATTGGATGTACTTTTTTTTAAAATCAGACTATTTCCCTATATATGGGGGGGCTTAAAATATAAAAAATGCATATAGAATGTAGAACTTTTTCAACTTAACTTTTGAAAATGTTCCGGAAGGTCTGACACTTTTATATATATCTTAAATTAAAGCTAATGTAATGTACTTTAATTTGAAAAAAAAAAATTTGACCTCTGGACTTTTCTTCGCGGCGAAAATGGCTACCGAATGCTATTTTCGTGTGATAATTCTCGATTTTATTATTCATATTATATTTAACTTTATAATGCTATAACTTATTGAAAAGTTTATGGATCCACACAATTTTTTTATGAGAAATAATATTTTTTAATAAACCCTTTTTCATTCGACATACTTTATCTTAATCGAGATATTAAGGAACCAGCAAATCAAGTAGCTTTTGGAATAAAACACCAATTTTTTTAAAATTAAACACTATTTAAAGATTTGCATCGAAGCGTTTATTTTTGATAGTGATTTTAATCACTGTCAGATATCATTATACTTGATCCAACTATACCACGTCACAACTGTGCCGCGACCCCCCTGTGCTGGGTTTTTAAGATTTGAAGATAGCCATTTTACTGATAAATTATAGAGAAAAATTTTGATACCAAAAACTCTTATTTTAATACAGTTGTTAAGTTTCTATAGAATGTTGAAGTATTTTTAAAAATTTTTTTTTTAATACGACAGCCATTTGCACGTAAAAGATAATTTGTCGGAAAAAAATTTTATATTTTAATTCATAGTATTTGACATAATCTTTAATATGACAAATGTTTAAAGGACGCAGTATTTTCGCAACATTTTTAAAGTGTAAGTTGAAAAAATTGACTTTTGAATAAAAAGTTTTTTTTTTAAATTTATAGTACGTAACATAAGCTTTAATTTGACATGTGTTTAAAGGACGTAATTTTTCCGAAATATTTTCAAAACTTAAGTTGAAAAAGTTTGGTTTTCGTAAAAAAGTTTCTTTTTTGAATCCCTCTTGTGGGCAAGTAAAGAGTCAGATTCTCAAAAACAATTATATCAAATAAAAGGGAAATATTTAAGATTTCAATATAAAAAAAATGTTTTTTATTTGGTCATTTTTCAATAAGTAATGGCAATTCTTAGAAAAAAGTGAAAAAAATGTCGAAATTTACCGATTTTAAAAATCGTAATTTTTTGGGAGATTTTTGGGGTATGAGGGAAAAATTTTCAATTTTTGAGGATATTGTCTTCAACTAGATACGATTTGTGATCTTTTGAAGTATCGTTGAAAGAAATCAGTCCAACGAGCGCTGATAAAAAGTGGCAACAGACACAAAAAAAAAAACACATCATGGTAAAATTAATACTGTTTTAGCTTCGCTTCAAAGCTAAAATTTATTATAAAGAAATACAAAAATTTTTTGAGTAATCATTTATGCTTACTATTTTACCTCTATTAAATGAATCAATTAGTTCTAGTATCCATCGGTTTTCAAATTTAATTTTCATTTCTGGTAAAATATGCAAAAATATTAAGAGTTCTAAATTAAAGTTCAACATTATGAATCTTTGGGGCTCATTATAATCAAAATACATTATTGATTTTCCTTATATATTTCTTAAAGTAGAAGTTTTCTTTTAAGAATTATTTATAAGTCTTTTTATAACAACTTATTTAAATAATACTTACATTTTATGAAATATGTTTAAAAAATAATAAATTAATATAAATATGTACGAGAATTTAGAAATATAAATAAATAGGAATTTTAAATACTAGTATAAAAAATTTTATAAATTATAATAAATTTATACCATTTTTTTTTGATTCACTTTGAATTGTTTCAGAAGTATTTTCGTGTCTTGTGAATAATTTTAAATCTATGTATAAAATAGATTATTTAAGATAGTTTTAAATTAATAATTTTTAAATACATACAGCAACTCCTATATTGTACTGGTAGAGGTATACCAATTTTTATGGTTGTTGGGTCATACTGAAACCCTAGATTATGAAATTTATTTATTATTATGGAATTAATTTGAAAATTAATTTTTTGACTTAGATAATCGTAGAGTTGTAATTTTTTGTCTTCGATGTTTTTGTAATTATATTCTTCCTTCCATTTTTGCCATATTAGTGCTATATTCAATTGTTCAAATCGACAATATGTTGAACAATCACACATAGTCTCAATATCTCTATATTTAAAAAAAAATTCTATAAATTCTAAGAATTTTTCCGTTGCTGAATAACCATTTTTTGATTTAAGGAAGTTTCTTGAACCATTGTTAAAATTTTCTAAATTTAAAAATAATAATTTAAAAACAAAATTTTTCCATGGATGAGTATGTAAATAATCCAATACATAAAGTGTTTCTTTCATCAATCTTGCTATCGATGGCATTTTTTGTAAAATGTCCAATAACTTTTTAACGCAACTATATACATTTGATACTGGACTTTTTTTTTTAATTAAACTCTTACAGTGTTGTGTAAACTGTATGAATAAGAAAAAGAGTATTTTTAATTCTTTTGCATACGTACAAGCCAATACTAAAGTCGATACTCGAATTCCATGATTACATTTTTCTGGTTTAGCTGGTCCTAAATGATCTTCTAATCTATAATCTTGATGCCAATATGCAACATTTTTCACATCCTTTAATTGTGTCCATCCATAATTTTTTATGAGACTATTAAAAATGTCAGTATTTCGTCTTGAATTAACTGTCATTTCAATATACAGTATAAATATAGATAGTATTAAAAAAATATAAATTTTTTTCATGATCATTATTCTTTTGTTAAAATGTAAAAAATAAATTGTTACTATTTTTTTACTAATTTTAAAATTTATAACTTAATGTTCATATAACGATTTTTATATAATTTAATTTATTACGTATTTATTTTTAACATGATGTTTTTGCAGACTGTGCACTCATGATTAAAATAATAATACACTTAATGAAACGTTTTTTACGTATGTACTCTATTTGAGTTTATATTACTCAACTTAAAATTACTAATCATATGAAAGTACAGCACAATTTTCTTTAAATAATCAACTTATTTCGTTTTATTTAGAAAAGAAACAATAATATCTATACTGAATATCTATCTATCATATCAGTCTTACTTTAGGAACAAATATTATTAGGTAAAAAGGAAAGTATAATATACAGGGTGTTCAGTAAGTCAGGAAACGGGTTTCTATTGTTCTCATTGTTTGTAACAATGAGAACAATAGAAACCCGTTTCCTGACTTACTGAACACCCTGTATATTGTATCATGGCTGGTAATGTATTGTTACGAGCACCGTTGCATAAGATTAAAAGGATAAAAGGAAAAGTCAATTATTTTAATTACGGTTGATAACTAGAAGGTTATGATCACCGTTAAAGATTAACTAACTTTAAAAAAAAAAAAAAAAATTATATATAAATCATTGAACACGGTTGGTAACAGTAAATCAATATAGCCAAGAGCATGGTTGAAAGTTCTATATATCAAATTTAGAAGGTTTAGGAAAGAAATAATAAAAAGAAACTTACCCAGTGTAGCGGCGTATAAACGAAGTCGATATATTCGGCAATAGATATTGCGAAAACTAGATCCAATTAATTGAATTAAGAGAAAGGGAGAAAAGGATAACTAAGACAGCAGTAAGGGAGTACTTAATACCGACCACCACCATTTGGGTAGTGTAGATTAATTGTTTACTGGTTATTTTATTGTTAATAGTTTGTAATAAATAAATAAATGTGTACTTTTTAATATCTTTTAAATTGTAAGTTCCTGTTTTGAATAATATGTAACATGAAAAAGTTTACAACCATTACTATCTATCTTATTAAATAAAAGTACATTATACTATAATCTTTTGAATAAATGTTAACAAGCAGCTCTGTCCAACGGACTTTCTTTTAACTGAGAAACGGCAATAAAGCTGTAAATACATATACGTTGAGAATGATATTTAAGGTTGAAGGAAACACAATACTGTGTTAACTATATAAAAAATTTAAATTTCAATAACATTTCTCATAATTTGAGCTTTGTTGCAATGCTAAGAAGGTATTAATTTTACCATGGTCTGTTTATTTTTTATCTTTTTTTTTTTTGTGTTTATCATTTACTTTTGTATATATTTCGAAAATACTCAAACATATGTTAGATTAAATTATGTAATATACTTTAAATAAAAAAGAAAAATTCTCCTGATCACTTATCTTCTTTGTACAAATAGCCACCGTAGAGGAAAAATAGTTTATACTTGTATTGCAATATTTGATTGTATACTTACAATTTTAAAATAACTATAACTATTCAAAAAAATTGTGGATCAATAAAATTTTTTTTTTTATAAGTACTTAATAATGACTCTTTTATCCAGCTTACTTCTTTTTTAAAATCATTTACCCCTACAGATTACAGGATACAGATACAGGATTAAAAACTTGAAGGACGCGTATAAAAACTAAAACTTTTCCATTTAACTTTTGAAATGGTTCCGGAAATTCTGATAATTTTATTAACAGGTCAACTGGATTTATTAAAAAGAAAGAAGGAAACCCTATTTTATCATCTTGTAAATTCATAATATGTGCATACATGTACAAATGATAATATCATATTATAAGTGATAACATAATATTTTACAGTCAGTATACGTTCCAACGCGACGCATTCTTAAATAAAAATTAGTTTTTTAATTAAAATGATTAAATGTTTTATTTTCAGTAATGCCATTTTATATCAAATTTTGTTAATATAAATAGTAATTTAAAAATCTAAATATTACATAATTTAAAAGAATTTTTGCAAAAAAAATTTGTGAAATATAAACATTTAAAAATACATTTTTTGACTTTCTAAATCTTTTAGTTCATTTAATAAAGATTACTCAAACATTTTAACAAGTTCTACTTTGATTTTGTGAACAATTTACTATCTGATTATTCACTAATTTTATGTATAAATCAATATTATGAATTACCGCACATTTATCATATCAGGAAATAATTTAACTACATTATGAGACGTCTTTTAATAAACAAGAAATTCTACCTTGAGATACTTTAGAAATATTAAATAGATGCTTTAATGTTTCAATAATACTATTCAAATGTTCATTTGTTAAATTTATCAGTTTGTCCAATACTTGTTTGAATTCTTTCCTGTAAAATGATTTTAATAAAAGTCTGATCGACTTTTTGGATTTCCATCTACTTTTTTGGCATTATCTATTTTTGATGTTTGATAAAATCTGCTTCTGAATCTACTTCAATTATTATTTATTTATTTTTTTGAAAATAACAGCAACTTTTAGATTTGCATCAAATCTATCAGAATTGTGTTTATATTTTCAATTTATCATGCCTTTTATGAAATGTCTTGCAATTATATTCAACTATTTTGTTTCTAACTTTTCAGTCAGTGTTTTGACTTAATATAAATCATTTTTCCTAAACATAATTGAAACAATAAAATGAAATGGTAGTGGTTATTTCATTTAAAGTTTGAAGTGTTATTTCAAACGAAGTCTTAACTGCTTTTACTGACTGTGCACATATTATCCATCGCTATTATGTTTCGACAAATTACACAAATGCAAGCTATCACTAATTTCGATTTATTTCTTATGAAAAATTGTGTACCACTTTGTACTGCCAAAAAATAAAATTTAAGAACTTTCTAAGTTGTCTATTATGTTTAGTGTAATAACGTTTACATTACAGCTATGTGTCCAAGGCGGTGTTAATAAAATACGTTTGACATGGAATACATGGTATGTAGTGATTGTTTAGTTCTGATTGTTCTTTTTGCATTCCATGGAATTTGTCTGAAATACTTGAGACTAAATCGTAAGATTGAAAACTGATAAAGTTCGGGTTTAATTTATTTCTTACCAAGGTATCGTAAATATTTTTTGCAATCCCTAATCTAGTTTTATCATCACATTCATTCCAAAAGTATCTTCTTCATCTATCTGTTATCATTACGTAAAGCACGCATATTGCCAATATATCTAGATCAGTTATATGAGGAGTCGTGTCTGCAATAAATAAATAAATTTCTGCATGTTTTACTTATTCACTTATACGTTTTTTAGTTTCTGAAAATAAAAGTTTTATAAATTCATTTTGAGACTTATATCCAAAATATTTCACATTTTATGATCTCTTAGTTTTGACAAGTAATCATTTTTTCATAATAGCACAATGCTTGGGCAGTATTGCATAATTTGATTGAAATTCCCATTTTTGTCAATGCTATCGCCTCAAAATGCTAAATCTTTTTTTTTTTTACAACCATTAGGTTGGTTAATACCACTGGTATATCCTGGGGAAATTTAAGTGCAGTGGTTTCCCGTTGCCTTCTGCACTGGGAATATGGTGCTTTTTCGCCACCGTAGGAGCACTCGCATAGTCACCCATCCGTTCATCTACGGTGGTAGACGCGGCTTAACACTAGAGTTTTGTAAACAACTAGCGTGACCATCGCGCCATACCACGCCCCCTTGCAAAACCTTGCCGATCTATAATGCCAGCAATATCCATGGATAACATTAACATGGATATTGTTCAATATCATGAATGTAATTGATATAATTTAAAAATTCATATTAATGATTTTTTATAATTTGTTTATTGTATTCATGTTCATGCTGAATTTTTATACATATTTGTCGAATTGCTTGGTCAAATAAAACACAATATGATAAGATTACTTCATAAAATTACAGTAATCTTTTAATGCAGCTTTATGAATCTAAAAAGAAAAATGATCAGAACTGTCTTCCTAGTATATTTTCGCCTCTACTTTTCATTATATGCTAAGTTCTGTCACCTTTAATAATCCAGAAATTAACAATAAATTGTCGATCTGAACCATTTGGTAATAAAAATCGCACATAACAATATACTTTGAATATTGTTTTTTAATACTATACATTATTGTATTCTAACACTGGAATTTGAGTACACCAACGTAATGAAAACTATATTTGTTTGTTTATAGGATTCTAAACAAGTTTAGGCTGATGAGACCCTAAAAAAATTAGGTATCGTCTCTGTAAAATAAACAAATAAATTTTTCTTTACTTGAACCATGGTCAATGAAGTTGTTTTACTCAGTTTGGTCATATACATTTTCTACCTTCTCATGTTTATTTGTCTGTTTAAACATACCTTATACATTTTTAAAAAATATTTCAACATGTTATGAATGGTTTTGACTACTTTAATACTATTTAATATAAATAATATTGTATTAAAAAATGTGGCATTTTTAATTTTTTTAAAAATTGTATCGCATTTATTCATCTTGTTTACACGAAAATGCAATTGGCCCACAAAATTTAACCATTTTGTATTTTCTTTTTAATTTTTTCAACACTTTTATTTATGTCTTAAGTTTCCAGAATTTTGTGTTATTAATTCAATTTTCTCAGAATATTGTATTGTTTTTAGTTATTTTAATTTCTTGATATTTATTAAAAATTTTATTTAAGATTTCTTTATTAAAATTACTTATTCTTACCAGTTTTTATATTAAATATGACAGAATAAGATATAATTATATTTACCTTAGATTTTTTCATAGCCGATTCAGAAGGATTTTTAGGAGCATCAATATGATTCATTCAAACTTTTTTCCATTCTATTAGGTTTGTTCGTGTTTACATTTGAAAAACGTCAGTTTCAAAAACGCTGACTGTATAAAATATGATGTAATATAAATAATTTGATTGCCGACCTTATGTTTTTTGTACATGTACACAAAGTAAATAATTCAAAGTTATTTTTTCTTATTTAGTAATTGTTGTTATATTACAAATTAATAAAATATGTATGAATACGTATTTTTTTTTAAATATACTATCATTAAATTTTATCTGTACTTTACGATTTCAATCATTTGTAATATACTTTAGAAATTTCCAAAACAAATCTATCCTAGCTCATAATGTACCAATTAAAAATTCATGTTTAATTCATAGCTAATGTTTTTAATATTATTCTTCATGTATTTGAATCAGATCACTAAGTTACTACCATAGATATTTTACATAGAGTTATAATTTAAAAAGTAATCATTTAATATTTGAAAATAATTTTAAAGAATTTTTTTTGTTTAGTTGTTTGTGATACTAACATTTGTTAAAAAAATTTACTTGGGAGGAAATTTATTTAGTTTTCAATAACTTCTATAGTTTTTAGAATACTTTTATACCCCAAATAAGGTAATACGGAGGGACGATATGGCCGAGTCGGTAATGCGGCAATTTTTGACGCGCACTGTCTCGGGTTCGAAACTTGGTCACCAGCGGCTTAATTTTCCGAACGAGAGATCAATGTAAGTAAAATAAATGTCTGAATTATTATGAATAAAAACGGTAACACAATGGTCTTATGATAGTGATTAAATTTATAGTTTAAAAAAATTGAAATACACGCTTTTAAAGCATATCGAACTAAAACGTTCAAAATAATTTTTAAAATAAACTTAAAACAATAATGAACGAAAAATAATAGTATTATTGTGAAAAAAAAAAGTCGGGCGCTCAATATACGAAAAATATGGCACAAAGCCCCCACGCTTTTTTTTCACAATAATACTAGTATTTTCGTTTATTATTGTTTTAACGTTATTTTAAAAATAATTTTTAACTTTTTAGTTCGATATGCTTTCAAAGCGTGTTTTTCAGTTTTTTAAACTATATTTATTTTTCACTTTTTAGTTTTTCATGACATCGCTGTTACAGTCACGGAGTGTTTATTGTCATTTATGACTATCAATAGACATAATTTTTGTATTGCCAGTTAGTATGTTCATAAACTCACAACAATATGTCTTATTACGATCGATAATAAAGGCTATATGTTATACCTTATTTTATAAATATCGTCATAAAAAAACCAATTAGCTACCTGCATTTGTAATCCCTTAAATATTATTCATGTATATTAACTCAAAAAAATTTGAAACTCTAAATGTTTACAGTGCAACATCAATTCCTATTTCCTTCATTATTCCTGATTAGAAGTTCTTTGATTTATAAGTATAAAAAATGAATAAATAGTTATTATAGTAATTATATTTAGTAAGAAATTGATATATAATAATTTAATATTGTAATTTTTACGGATAAATTATAAAGTAGTCATGACTTTTATGGCAAACGTGTATAAAAATTAAAAGGCTTGGTGTAATACTTTTCAACAAAAATTGTTTATTATTTATGAATAAATTTATTTGTCTACAAGTAACTTTCATCAGAATCAAAAATTTACTTTTCTAAATCAACTTTTTGCAATATTTTTAAACATGGCATTAGACTTTGTCTACCACTTTTAATTTTGATATTATTACTAATTAAAACCAACCCAGCACGGGGGGTCGCGGCACATTGGTGACGTGCATAGTTGGATCAAGTATAATGATATCTGACCGTGATTGACCAAAGATAAGTAAAGATATCAAGCATCTATATAAAAAAAAAATTTACTTATCCATACATTTTCCAAAAAGTTATAGCATTATTAAGTTAAAAATATAAAAAGAAATTATTTTACTAAAATCGTAATTTTTTATTAACTTTGATGTCTATTTTCACCGTGAAGACAAGTCCATAGGTCAATTTTTTTTTTTCAAATTAAAGTATATTACATTACCTTTAATTTAAGATATACATAAAAGTGTCAGACTTTCCGGAAAACTTTCAAAAGTTAAGTTGTAAAGTTCTACTTTCTATATGCATTTTTAATATTTAAAGCCCCTCCGTATATATGGAAGTGGTCTGATTTAAAATAAAAGTATGTCAAATGAAAGATGTATATAAATGCTACTTTTCATGAAAAAATTGTATTGATCTATAAATTTTTTGAAAAGTTATAGCCTTTTAAAGTAAAAAAACCCAGCACAAGGGGGTCGCGGCACAGTGGTGACCGGGCATAGTTGGATCAAGTATAATGATATCTGACAGTGATTAAAATCACTATCAAAAATAAACGCTTCGATAATTTAAAAAAAATTGGTGTATTATTCCAAAAGCTACATTATCTACTGTTTCCTTATTAATATCTTGATTAAGATAAAGTATGTCGAATGAAAAAGGGATTATTAAAAAATATTATTTTTCATAAAAAAATTTTGTTGATCCATACACTTTTCAAAAAGTTATAGCATAATAAAGTTAAAAGTGTAAAAGGGTAAAGGGTTAGATTTATAAAAAAATATGCCAAATGATAGGTAATTACATCATGTATATATAAAAAAATATATATATTGTTTTGTTCATTTTTGAAAAATTTGCGGCAGTTTTTAGTAAAAAAATTTTCGAAAATTAGCAATTTTTAAATTTGTAATTTTTTTGGAGGTTTCGCCCATTTACGGGGAACGAGAGAAATTTTTTCAATTTTGAAGGGTAATGTCTTCGACTAGATACGATTTGTGATCTTTTGACGTATCGTTGAAAGAAATCCGTTCGGTGAGAGCTGAGAAAAAGTGGTAACAGACACAAAAAAAAAAAACAGATCATAGTAAAATCAATATCTTCTCAGCTTCGCATTGAAGCTAAAAATTACTAACTAAAGATTGTTTTCAAGTTTTTACTGATTTTGATTTTAATATATTAAAAATAATCAGTGCAAAATGTCATATTTAAACAATTTTTATGTTCCTTTAAAGTTAAATTTTGTGAATAGTTATACTAAAAAAAGTTAATTTATAACTATTATTTTAACACAATCTGCAAGTTTGAAATTGACATCATTAAATAGTAAATTATATGAGAATTTCAAAAATTATATTGTTAAGATTAATATGCAGTCAGGTAATTTAATAATTACTATTTACAGTAAATTTATCAAAAACACTAAATATTTTTTGTATTTTTATCATAAAAAAGATTGTAATAATAATACTTAAATAAACACCTTTTCAGCACAATCCACCGCATCACAAAACGAACTGAAAATTTCCATCCGATATTGTGGATACGTTATATGTTTACAATACTTAGGTTACTCTAAATTTTCTTAATTATAAGTTGAGTAAAATCATTCCAGTAAGAAAGGATAATCAAGTAAAGAATCACAAAAAAAAAAAAAAAAACACTTTGCAGAATAAAACAAAGAGTTTGGCAGCTACACATTTAAGTTTATTAATATTGTATTATTTTTATATTTGACTGAAAATAATTTTGTAATCATACTTTGATAATGGTGGCTATTTTAAGAAAAATATAATAGCCACTGCATTATAATGAATTTTAAATTAAACCTTTTATAAAGCATCACTCTAGTATTATTATTTTATAAAATATTTTATTACAATTTTCATGTTCTAGTAATACAGTAAACATTAAAATACGTAAGCAATCTTAATTACGATACTTATAAGTATTATATTAATTAAAATTTTTATGATAATTACAATATTTCATGAATATTATTTAAACAGTAAAATATTTTATGAAAAATAGAAAGCTCATATTTTAAAAATTACTATTTAAAAAAACTTGATATAATTCTCCCTATTTTCATCAATTAACATTGACTCTGAATTTTCTTCATGTGAATAATCATTATTTAATCCTTGATGAAAACAAAAACTTAATAAAATAATTATATTATGACTTCTTATAATTATGAACATTTCATATTACTAAATATTAATAATATTTCATTTATGAAATATTTTATATTATTAAAATGTTAAAGGAAACAGTTTTTTTCCCATAATAATTACAAAATTTATTTTATTTATCTACGAATGAGTCAATTTACCTTGTTCGAGAAAATCGATTATTTGCAATTCTTTATTGGTTTGGGATACATTATTCAATTCTATTAAAAAATTAATTTAATAAATAAAAATACTTTTTTATAAAACTAGAACATCTAAGTAATAATTTATGTTGAACAATTTTACCATTACTAAAATCAATGACGTATGCTGCTTTGATGGATTTAGAAACCAATTAGAAATAGTTAGAGCAATTTAAAACAATTTAGCAAATTTAGCAAAAATTTTATTGTTCTCATAAATCGATTACTCATGAGAGACAAATGGATGTAAGGACTATTAAGTTCCTGTAGTAAAATTATTATTTATTGCGAAATTCATAAAAAATTATTTATCTATGATTTACCTTGTCTGAGAGTATTCATTTGCTGTAGTTCTTTATTTGTTTGAGGTATATTATTTACTTCTAATAAAAATTAATTCAATATAAAGAAATACAAATATATTTTTATATAACTAGAATTTAAGAGTAAACCTAGTAATAAAGATTTTTACCTCCATTTAATTAATCAATTAGTTCAAGTATCCATTGATTTTCAAATTGATTTTCCTTCATTTCTAGTAAAAAGTGGAAAAATATTAAGATTACTCAATTAAAATTTAACATCGTGTATATTTGAGATTGAATACAACAGAAATGCATTTATCAAATTCTCTAATTTTTTGTCAAAACTGGAAGTTTTTTATAAGACTATTTATAAGTCTAATTTTTTAAGAACACTTTGAATGTTTTTGTCGTAATAATATTTAAGTAAAATTTCAAGATATTTAGTTAAGATCAAAAATAAGTATGAATTTTAATTACTAATTAATAGTTTTAAGTCTGTGTAGATTATTTTATAATTTAAATATATTCTTACTTTTATTTTTTGATTCACTTTGAATTGTTTCAGAAGTCTTTTTGTTTCTTGTGAACAACTTTAAATCTATGTATAAAATATGTACTTTAAGATAGCTCTATATTAATTATTTTTGAATTCATACCGCCTATACAATACTGCTTTGGTAGAGGTATACCAATTTGTTTTGTTTTTCTATCATACTGAAACCCTAGATTATGAAATTTATTTATAATTATGGAAATCATTTTCAAATTAATTTTTTGACTTAGATAATCGTAGAGTTGCAATTTTTCGTTTTGTTTATTTTCGTATTTATATTCTTCATTCCATTCTTCCCATTGCGAATCGATATCATTTTGCATAAATATACAATACAAGTCACTAAATGATTCAATTTCAACATTTCTATGGGTAAAAAACCGATAAATTGAATTTAAAATGTTTTCTATTTTTGTTGTATCATTTTCCAAAGGAATATAGTTTATTAAAATGTTATTAAAATTTTCTAATTCTATTAGCAAATAGTCTAGAACAAATTTTTTTTTTTTCTGATCTTTCCATGGATCAGTATGCAAATAGTCCAATGTATATAGTGTATTTTTTATTAGTGTTGCTAATGAAGGTATTTTTTGTAATATTTTAATTAACTCCATAGCACAATTATATCTATTTTTTACTGTATATCTTGCAGTTATCGAACTTTGACAGTGGTGTCCAAATTTTATGAATAGGAAAAATAGTGTTTTTAATTCTTTTGCATATGTACAACCCAATAATATAGTCAATAAACGAATTGGTTTATTACAATCTCTTTCTTCAACAAAGTCTAGAAGTGTAAATGAATGAAAAATGTTGCTCAAATATTTAACACTTATGACATCTTTTATTTCTTTCCATCCATTATTTTTAATTAGGCTATTATATATATCAGTGTTTTGTCTTGAATTTAATGTTGTTTCAGTCAACAGAATGAATATAGATAATAATAAAAAAAAAAAAGGTTTTTTCATGATTAGTACTTTTATGTAAAAATTAGAAATTTATAGGTTACTACAATTAATTTTGTCTTTAAAGTTAATACAGATACTACTAGTTAATGAAAATGATAAAATTCATAAGTTATTTATTAAATGTTTTATGTATGTTCAAATATAAGTCACCCTATTATTCTATTTATAAGTTAAGTTATCCATTATTTGTAATGCCAGCAAACGTTTATTATAATAAATATTTTATACCACTTAATATTTATTATTCAAGTAGTTAAAATAAAAAAATATCTCACTAAATCTATTTTATTGTTTATGAGTATAAATAGAATAAAATGGTGAATATAATTTTCTTGTATACATATGTGCATTGTATATTCAATGTGATTTTTCAAGTATCAATGTAAATAATCGTGTGCTAATGTCATACATTTTAACCTTCTATACAATAAACAGTTATTTTTACATTCTAGCTAGTAAATCATTGCAAATGCGATTAATCGTGTGAATACCAAGATTTTACGGCAGCTGGTCTTATTGAGCTTTTGATTTTTCATGCCGTTCTTGATCCCCATCTTTCAGTAAGTGCTTAATAATATTGTGGGAATTCGACCGACTGATTCCACACACTCATAGTAGCTAGCTACTTTTATGGATGTTGCTTCACTAATCTTTCGTCCCTGATTATTCTTATTCTCTTACTTATCAAGTATTACATATATCTCTCTTTTGTGGAACACTTTTTAGTAAGTATAAAAAAATAATGGTAAAGTTATTGTATTACAATCTTTAAAACATTATTATTATAATAAAAATGAACAAAAATAAATTATGTTTTTTAATATGAAGGATTTTAATTTTTGTACTTATTTAGGTTAAATAAAGATTATTAATAATTTGATATTCACCAATTTATTATATTTACTTTTTATATATGTAAAATCACTTTTTGAAGCTTTAAATAATCAATACAGAATCTCAATTATTAAAAATCCTTAATTATATTTAAAAATAATGTTATAAGTAATTTATGGCAAGTCCTGGCTAACAACTCTTTGAATTTTCAATATTAGTAGATACAGTTTAAACTTAATAATTTATCTACTAGCAGATTTGACAAGTTTATAATGTTCCTGAAATATATTATTGATTTATTTAACGTTTAATTATTGAATTCCATTCTAAATATATAAAAATATCAATATTATCAATTAAAAATAAATTATAGAAAAATAAAATGAAAAAATCATAACCACATAGTTAATAATAATTATACTAAGTATATTAACTATATTTATTTTTTTAATTGAATTAAAAAAAAAAAAAAAACTTTAATAAAACATTATAATTTTATGTATTATGAAAAATAAAATGTAGTACAATTTAAAAGACTATTAGTTTTTATTAATAAAAATTAAGTACCCTTAAATTAAGAAATTAAATATAAACAATATTATTTTTGTTAAGTCATAGTTAATCTATCTAAATGTCTACGACATTAAATAAGTTTACGATAAAAAATATAAAAATATGTATTTTTCGTGATAACAGTAGAGGTGTCATTGTGTTTTTCATTAGTGTAAAAATATAATATTTAAAAAATAAAAAAATAAATGTTTGTAAGTATTAAACAGGCCACATATGTTGTACCAAAGCAATGTAGAAAAAATTATTTTCTACAATTCCGTGTGCTTATAAAATGATAAATTTACATTAGTATTACCTTCGATGCGAAGCTGAGAAGGTATTGGTTTTACTATGATGTGTTTTTTTTTTTTTGTGCCTGTTACCACTTTTTCTCAGTTCTCACCGAACGGATTTCTTTCAACGATACGTCAAAAGATCACAAATCGTATCTAGTCGAAGACATTACCCTTCAAAATTGAAAAAATTTCCCTCGTTCCCCGTAAATGGGGGAAACCTCCAAAAAAATTACAAATTTAAAAATCGCTAATTTTCGAAATTTTTTCAATTTTTTTTACTAAAAACTGCCGTAACTTTTTCAAAAATAAACATTTTAATATAATTTTTTTTTTATAGATGCTTGATGTCTTTACCTATTATTTGGTATATTTTTTTTGTAAATTTGACTTTTTTTCTGCCCACAGGGGGGGATTTAAAATGACAACTTTTTCACAAAAAATTAACTTTTTCAACTTAACTTTTGAAAATGTTCCGGAAGGTCTGACACTTTTATATATATCTTAAATTAAAGCTAATGTGATATACTTTAATTTAAAAAAATAAAAATTTGACCTCTGGACTTGTCTTCATGGTGAAAACGGCTACCGAATGATATTTTTGTGTAAATTTTCTCGATTTTATAATTTACATTTTAGCTTCGATGCGAAGCTGAGAAGGCATTAATTTTACCATGATGTGTTTATTTTTTTTTTTTTTTTTT